TTCCTGCTGTGAGACTAGATGACAGCATCAAGTCATCTGGCTGGTGATTATGGAAACAATCTAAAACCCTGTGTTGGATTTTTAGCTCTAGAAAGGAACCGTGGTTCTAATGGAACATGTTAATGTTGTTCAAAATGTTCACTGCATATACGCAAAGTCAGTGAAGTTTTGTTTTATGTTTGAGGTTTCTCTTCAGTTGTACTATGAATTGTGTTTAATAAAAAAACAGACCTCATGGCATTTCTTTTCTGTTTTTCAGGCACAGAAATCATGGATAGAAAGAGCATTTTACAAGAGGGAATGTGTTCATATCATACCCAGCACCAAAGACCCCCATAGGTAATTGCATGATACTTGTATGAAAAATGAAAGTCACTTACAGTAAAAAAAATATAGAGAGAGACCTGTACATATGTATTTCTATGAATATAAATAGTTTGTAAAGACTTACTTGATCAGAAGGTGATTGAATTACCTCTGGAGTGATGGGTTCCTATGGGCCCTATTTGTTTACATTTCAAAACTTATTTCATCAAAAAAAAGATAAATCAATGATGGATCAGCATCTATGTTTAATTTCCTTATCTTCTTAGTTAAATATTCAATGTCTTGAATATTTACCTAGATTGGATGCATAGCACGCAATACTGTCTAAAGAAAATAATTGCTATGAACTAACAATTTAAAATATGTGCTAGTCAATGCAAAAGCTGATTACGTGCCCTGATGTCATCTGAAAACAGTAGAAAATATTCTTTAACTTAATTTTGTACATATTTAGAACAAAGCATGATTTTATTGAAATATGGGAGAGTCTAAAATAAACAAGATCATAGAAAGAAAAGGTAATATCCATACTAAGTTGCTTCAACAACTAGAGGCTTCCAACAGCAGAAAATGGTCAGCAGAGTTGAAAAGTTTTTTTTTTCAAGATTTGTAGGCCATTTAAGATAGATAGTTTCCCTATTTGATTTATACATGCACATGACTCAAGTTTTCTGTTTGTGTAATGTCGTAGGTGTTGCTGTGGGCGTCTAATAGGTCAGCATGTTGGACTTACTCCAAGCATCTCCATTATTCAGAATGAGAAAAATGAAAGCAGGCTTACTCGCAATGACATCCAGTCAGAGAAGTGGTCCATCAGCAAGCACACACAGCTCAGCCCAACAGACGCTTTTGGAACCATTGAGTTCCAAGGAGGAGGCCACTCCAATAAAGCCATGGTAATTATGTTTTCCTCTTAAATAATACTGCTAGCTCAAAAAAGGCATTCACAAAGAATAAACAGCATTCATTCTTAACTTCATTTTTAGGTATCATTTAGTGTAATACCATACTATAGGTTTTTAGATATCTTGTACCAAAGAATTGGTGAACAAAATTAACTGTAAAAGCTGGAGTGCAGCGTAAGAGGGGCTACCTTTATGAAGACTGAAGACATGCTAATGTGCTGCTATCTTGATTTTCTTCCAATGGCTAATCATTCTTCTCTTTCTCAATAGCTTCAGAATCCAACTATGGTTTCCCATTGCTGTGTGTGTCTGCAAGGCTTACAAATTTGAAATGCAGCAAATTTATTTCAATATTCCTCCAGGCATATATTGGAGGATAAATCAGTTAGACATATTGGTTCATTTTTCAGTGAAATAAGAGGCCCAGTAAGTCTCTTAGCTAGGAACTGGAAAATCCCTATTATGCCACAGATTTCCTTGAATAAGTCACTTAATCATAATACAATACTACAAAGTATGCTAATCTGAAGGCATTGTTACACTATGTTGGAGAGATATTTCCAACACCCACACTAACCCGTGCATGTATTTCTTCTATGTGTATTACATGAATCTGGCTCTATCTGAACTTCAGAACTTAGGAGTCTGGGAATGACAGATGAGTGTGTACCTAGCACATTGTGGCCAAGACGCTGCTTTGAGCAGGAGCAAGGACAGAAGCAGAGCCCATGGGCCTGCTGCAGAATAACGTTCCCAGCAACCCAGTACCATCTTCTTTGCCTGAATTCTTCCCAACAGGTCTATCAGATCTGTCATGGTGCCAGGTGGATTAGAGACAATCAAGAGCTCAGTTACTATGCTAGCCAGAGCCAGATATTTGTCTCGAATATGTGGATACTGGAGATTGAATGATTACTTAAGTGGATGTTTCTGTTTGCCCAAATGGATGGCTTCTTTTCATAGAAACCAGGAAACTTTGTTGCACCAAGGAATAGGTAGTAAATTAAGTCAGTATCACAGACACCTTATCTTTAGTTGATAACCAATCACCTAAAAATCTGCAAGGCTATTGCTAAAGAGAGACTGATTTAGTAAATAACATTTGTTTAGTGTGAATAAATTGACACCTACCTCAGTACTGAAATGAACCAAACCATGCTGTTGGTATCTTCCCATGGATGGGGAACAAAACAGAATGCTTTACACCAAAACTGAGAAAAATTCAGAGATACAGTAAGCATCATACTATTAACCACATAAGGATACTTTGCATTAATTGTGTCTTTATGAGAAACGGTAATCACTAGAGCTTTTTGAGTGATATCCTTGAAGATAACTATAAAGTAATAAACTGCCCTGCCAAGAAAAAAAGTCTTGGGGTCTTAGGTAGCCAAAGAAACAATTAAGAGTTTATGGAAGCTGTTGATATCAATTTCTCTCGAGGATTTCTGGTCTTTGTTGGGATTGTGGTGTCCTGGCACATTGATATAGGAGAACAGGAGGTGCTCCAAGGTATATGCAGTATGGTCAAATGTACTTGAAGTGAAGCTGTGAAGGCAGAACTTGGAGTCAACATGAAGGAATGAAAAACCCTGTCACAGAGTGCAGTCAGGATTGAAACCATGAAGAATTTAGAAAAAAGGCAAAGGGGTTAAAAATCTGAGGGACCTAAATAACAAGTTAAAACTTAGGAATGAATACAGACAAAATATTTATTGATGGAAAAACTCTGGATTTATTTTGACAGTACTATAATCAGAAAGATAGTTGTATCTGCTATCTATTCATAGTTGTTAAACCCCACCCGAAACATGGAGATAACCAAATTCTTCATGAATTAAATAAATCTATAAAGGCTCCAGAAATTCAATCGTCCAACTGGTGGGAAAAGTGCTTCAAATTAAACAATTCACCAAATATCTCCTTAATGGATGTCCTGCTTGGTTACTACCAATCAGAAAAACATCTTTCATATGCGCAAAACACAGTTAAAGAGGTTTGCATAACCAGTAATTATGGGGTTTGTTTGTTTGTTTGTTTGTTTTAATATGGAAATAAAAGAGCTTTGTTGTACTGTGGTGTGTTCGTCACTGAAAACAATATGACAATTTCCTCATGGTCAGATTTCCAGCCTCAAACTTTATTTTAGGATAGATGATAGTCAAAGAGCTGCCAAACTAGATGTTGCAGTTTTATTAATAGAAAGAGTGAAACTCCTGTCTCTGATCTTACTGGGTACAAGATCTTTCCCATAATTAAAAAAAAAACAAACTTAAAAACTTTATATGAAAGCCAAGCATTTGTGCAGTCAAAGCAACCAACCAATTTTGCTAGTAGAAGAGGGGAAAACAAAAAAAAAAGCATTTAAATTATCTTGAAAAGTAAGTCTTGGAAAAAGGAACAAATACATAATAACCCTTGGAAGCATTATTGTTCAGACAATATATTTTCAAACCCAAAAGCAGAAAAGCTAGAACATCAACAGGAGCTGTGAGACAGAGAAAAGGGATAAAACATACTAAATGAACTAAATAGATGTGTAGACCACATCAATCTCATATTTTTTTTACAAGTGGCTTATCCCATTAATGTTTAAGAAACAGATTAAAAAGTTTTGCTGTTCACATTTACATTGGTTTTATGGCAGATTTTCAGTTTGACAACTGTAAAAAACATCTGAAAAGGATGTGGAGATACATAAACTTTATTAACAACTTTTGCAATAAATCAGTCAAATTAAAAAAACCAGGAAAATTAATAAAATGTGATCTGCTCGTTTTGGTTGGCTCCTAGTAGTTTTAGAAATAACATGGATGAGTTCATCTAACTATATACTGTGAACATATTACCCTAACTCTGAGAGCAATTATCAAACTAGTGTGGGCAATTGCATTCCAGTTATGAGCAATACTCTGAACGATTGCAAAATAGATTCTGGTCATTAGACGACCAGCTAAGGCAATCTTGCTGCAATGCGTTTTGCCCTGAACTTGTGGCCAAATCAAACCAATATTATTAATTTACTATCTGCCTTTCCACCCACCAAAAAAACCCTTAACATTCTTTCATTAATTGGTGTGGCTGGATTCCAAATCAACCTTTTTTATAGGACTGCTCTTTACAGGACTGAAATTTATTTGATCATGGTTTTTCAGGGTTAGGTGGAAAATGGCTGTTTGAAAAGCTTTAGTAAGTTAAATACATTCCTCCTAATTGAATGCATACCAATGATACATTTAATATGCACAATAGAAAGCATATGTTTGCAGCTGTAGAAGAAATAAAGTTTACTTCAGTGTTATAAGCTTAACCTTTCTTATGGTGCATGGAAACATCAAAGAATATCAGTAGAATTCCAGTGTACATAAACAGCTCCTTAGACAGACTTTCTAACATTCAGATACTCAAAACATTATACTTTATTAAGAATATGTGGAAATCAGCCACATAAAAGGTGTATTTCTGCTTTTAAAATATATTGAGTTTTATCACAATTATGTAAGAAGGATCTTAAAAACCATGAATGCTTTTTAGAGAAAAAAGATAATTCTATAACTTGCATAAACTATGAAAAAGGCAGCAAACTTTATTTTGTTATAGTAAATACATAAAGAACATTTACAGAATTTAAAAGATAGTGTCCTACATTGTGAAAAAGGAGAAATAACGCAGACCATTTAAATCAGTGAGCGTGCTTCCACTGACTATTTATTGGAACTTGGATGAGGCCTTAAGATGTTAAGAAGAATATTAACTTACAAGTAACCAGTCTTGTTTCAGTCTAAGTGACATATTTTCTGTTGAGTTCTGTAAGAATTAGATTAGACCTATTTTTTATGTGAAGATCACACTTTGAGGGACCCAGTCTTTAGCCTGAAGAATTGTCTGCAGTGGTGAAATCTCATTTAAGGTGGGTGAAATAGCCACCCAGTACCTGCATGCATCAAAGAGAAACAAAGGAGCAATGTTAGAGTGCAGGTAACAAAATGTTCTCTAAAGATATTTTCTTTGAAGAAATACAACAAAAATCTGTATCTTTCTATTTTATTCACTGAGGCTGTCATCTGCAGTCATTCACCATGTACTTCAATGACACAGCTGTGCTTGTGTAACAGATTAGTGATTACCACTTACCACTCAGGAACTTTGACTTTTGCCCTAGGGCATGGGAGTCCCACTTGCAAGCGTGTGGGCATTTCACTGATGCTTAGGGAATCACTTGATAAAAACGTGGAATGACTATTGGCATCAAATGGCACCCTTGCTGACAACTTCTGTACTAGTTTAGGGATCAAAGAGGCATGACAGCTTAAACTTGATGATTTATCACTCCACAGTGTTATGCTGATGTCAGTCAGGTTGGTCCATAGGTTTTGTGGTTTAAAAGTGTGCTTTTGCTTCCTATCTTGTCCTGATCTGCTGACACGTAACTGAAATCTTGCACCTATCTATACACCACTTTCATAAAAAAAGGAAATAAATAATTTGCCGTTAAAAGTTATAATTTCTACAGCTGACAGATACTCCAGACACGGAATTTCATGGTAACAAAGCAGTGGTTTTGTCTTAGATTTATAATTAAATTTTAAATCTGTCTCCAGAGGTTATAGCAAAAGAATTCAGGAATGGCAGAAACACTCATTAAGATTCTAAACAAAAGCTGAAAAGGCTGAATATTCTGCTACAAGATGGAAAGAACTGAAATTTTTAATATGGACAAAAATGGCCTTAAAAGTGTTTATTCATAATTTAACACATACTTTGAAAGTGATGACAAAAGAATTCTCTTGTACTTACTACTTAACATGTTAAGTAATGGCAAAAAGTAATACCAAGGTTACCAAATAAAAAATGGCCTCTGTAAGAGCAAGAAATTAATCTGATAGTTATAAAAATTGAGGTCTATACACAGAAAAAGAAACCATTATGTTTGGTGCCATTGCCCTTTCAAAAAACTTCTAAAACAGTAAAGCTTATCCATGATTATTTAAATTTTAATTTACATCAGAAAAACTTTCAGGTTTATTTTTGCTTATATTTCCTCTTTATAAAGTAAAATTAATTCTTATCATAAGTTTAGAGGGTTTTTGTCTGCAGTATAAAGAACAAGCAGTTGTTTATAATAAAAGATATCTACATTTCAAATAAATGTAAGAAAATACTGCTTCTAACTCTGCGGTTCACTGTGTAGATTTATATTTTTTTGAAATTCAGACGTCTTAGTGGATATGAAAATAATAGAGATTTTTGCCAATTAATGCATAAGCTTAAGAAGTTAGGGACATTGAGGTCACACATTCTGAGGTATAAAGCAATGCTAAAGAATCAAAAAAACAGTCACAGGTAATACACAGATGATGCCATTTTTGCCTTCATCTTGATATCATCCTGGACAACGCAGCGGCCTCTGTTTAAGCGTATTTGTATGGCCATAACTAATATGAATCCACTGTAATTATCTTCTTAAAACTCCCAGTCTGTATTCACCAAAACCAGAGTAAGGTACCAGTGATCCCAAAACATAATCTCCATAGTTTTACCAGCAGAGGTTTTATACAGGCCCTCTGAAGGATGTTGTCTATCTATTAATGCCTGCAGTGTCTGCCACAAAACATTGCCCTTTGCAACCTCAGCTCTTCCTAAGGGCAGAGCAAAGAGAAAAAGGGTCAGTTTCCTTACAACCTTTCTGGTGTGTTAAAACTTTGACAGCTCTGTAACCCTAATAAAAATTACTAGCTTCACCATCTGGTCAGTGGAATCAGGAACCACACAAGTTTTTGTCAACTCCCACACAGAAAATTAAATGTGTAACTACTGAGGATGCAGTTCATGTATATGTAAGCTCAAGATTACATTATGCTCTTGCCAGCCATGAATATTTTATGTTCTTTGTCCATTAGACATTATGAATTTTTCCTGGCTGCTGCAGAGAACATTACCAATCTGCTGGAGTGGATGTGCATTCCCAAGTTCTTGCTCAACTTTCAATTTGGCTGTGCCTCTGTCGCTTCCCTGTGACTATTTGCTCAAATGGGCTTCTGCTTCCAGAAATGTTAAAAATGCCTGTCTGCTGTGCAGCAACCCATCCTTGCAAAGAAACCTGTCTATTAGCGGTTTCTTATGGAAAACATCAAGTCTTTATTTCTTATTCAACGATCAACGTTACTAGCACAGGATTTACTGAAAAAGAAAACAAAACTTTTGGCAAGAAATACTGATTAGACATGTTAAAAAGGGACAAATTACTATATAATTTAAGTGGATATTATACTGCCTGGCATGTTACAATAAATATGTCAGAACTAGGACTTCCTCTAGCTGAAAGCAAAGGTAAATATATGATATCCCTGATGGTGGTGCTCACAGACCGTTCAGGGAAAAACTACTCAAAAAACGCTATATGTATTGGTTCAATCAGAAGTTTGGTAGATGAGTGTCTGTCTCTAACCTATTTTATGCAATTAAGAGGGTCCTTTCATATATTACCAGCTATAGAAAGGATTTTATCCTCTTACCATTTCTCCCAAGCAACTAGAATTTTAAAAAGTATCATCTGCCCTGTCATGGGCTTTGTGAAACTGTCATACATCTGCAACAGAAAGAGCTGGAGAAAGAGCCCTGGGAGAAAGGCTTGTCAGGAAGAGACAGATATGTGTGCAACAGAGTAGTGCTGTAGAAATTTTGAAGACAGTTGTTATCTTTGAGCACACACAGATAGGCATGATCTCCCTTGGGGCAAAATGCTGCAGATGTAGCACAGAAGAGCCAAGAACTGGAAATGCATAAATGTTTCTAAGCACTTTTAGGGTGCTCTGCCTTGTTAGGCAAATTCACAAATACATACATATCCATCTATAAGTCATAAGCTAGCATTCATTCATCTCAAAAGTACCTGTTTACTAGTCTTTCTCAGTTTAAATTTATGTGTGCTTGAATAACAGAGCTTGTTTCTGTTATCTCCTACCTTTTGAGAATTTGATTTTGTTAATTTCAAAATAAGATACAAGTGAATGCACTGTTGTGACAGGTTGTGACTGACTACATAGGCCATCTTTGGCAGACCACTTAAATTCTTGATCCAGTTTTGCATCCATAAATTAAAGACACTTATATTTTAAGCATTGCTAGGGTATTGATACAATTAATTACTTAATTTCTTTAAAAAAAAGAAAACTGTCCAGCCTCTGAATTGCAATTATTCCATTGTTCCCAGTTTCCTGAATTTTGAAAAATCATCAAGTTAGCAATTAGTGCCTTTGTCGTAAAAGTTGCCTTTAGTCAGTGGTCTGGTAGGCATAGATCGTATATATAAGAAAACAGTAAGTATAACCAATCTTTTTTTTCTCTGCTACTGCAGTATGTACGTGTGTCTTTTGACACAAAACCTGACCTTCTTCTGCATCTGATGACCAAAGAGTGGCAGCTTGAGCTCCCTAAACTTCTCATCTCTGTGCATGGGGGCCTTCAGAATTTTGAACTTCAGCCAAAACTCAAGCAAGTCTTTGGAAAAGGCCTCATTAAGGCTGCTATGACAACTGGAGCATGGATATTCACTGGAGGAGTAAACACAGGTAAAAGAAACATTGAAATGAAAGCATAGTGGCATTTAGGAGATTTCATCATAGAAAAAAATTCAGATTCGTGAGTTTAAGAAGCAACTCTATGTTTTATTTTATTAGTGTTGGCTGTACGATGTGCAAACAAGAAAATGTGAAGTTCATACCATCCTGGCATTTACCAGGGAATAAAAGGTTTGCTAAAGCATGAAAAGCACACAGGGGAGCTGAAAATAAAGCCTTCTGTGAGGCAATTATATTGGTATATTTTCAGTGAAGACTTTATAAGATCAACAGTAAGCTAAAGGGAGGGGCTACTAACCAAAAACTGAAGTCAAACTGTTATTAAAAAAAAAGGAAAATCTTTTCATACAGAAAACACCTTTATTTTAACTTACAAGATGATCTGAAGTATGAAAGTAAAAAAGGTTCTGTTTTGTAGATGTGTTTGAAAACTTTACTGTGAATAACATTTTTCTTTCTTGTAGACAGCTCAACCTAATTTTTTCTGTTACCACTACAGCAAAAGCAGTAACATTGTTATTTTTGTTCAAAATTAACAACATCTGTAACAAACCATATTGGTGTCCTAATGACACAAGGTAGCAGCTGGCCCAGCTGTTCTGGGAGACAGCATCTAGGTTTTGGGAATAAGCTGCGAAGTTAAAAATAGTTGGGCAATGGCTTCTCAGTTTCCCTCCCTAAAGGAGGCAGAAAGGAGACAACAGTCAAGGAGAGTCAAAGTGTTCTATTAGTGATAAAGGCAGAAAGTTTTGAGCTAGGACATGTACTTGTAAACTGTTATGTCATTCTCTATGCTGCAGTAACAAAGCTGTAATTTATTGCTTTAGTAGTCTCACAGAGTATATCCTCTTACTGTCTGTGGAAAACTTTGTAATCACTCCATCATGTATTAATTCAGTGCATTGAGGATCAACTCCTACATATTTGAATATGAACGTTTAATAGGAGTCTTGAGCCTTTTAATTTCCAGAGCTCATCAAATTTAAAACAGTATTCAGTTTTATCACAATAGCAATACAAATAGCAAAGAAGAGGCATAGCTTCTGGAGTGTTGATACATAAATAGACAGACTCAAATGTATGTATGCACTATTCCCCACATCTCTACAGAACAAGGAATAAAATCAGATTAAATGTTGATCTGTGTACTGTGGTGGTAATAATTATGTAAGTTGCCACATACTCTTGTAGTGACGATGACATAGACAGATAAAAATTTTAGGTTAAAACCACATTAGAAAACTGTAGATATTGGACACTCATTGCAGTGGATTACCACAGGACTGTAGAAATCAAACTACAGAATTTTTTTTTTAAACAAGGACTGTCTATAACATATGCATTTGGCAAATGCACGACTGCTTCATACCATTTTTCAAATCATCATAGTTGCAAATGCCAAAACACTAGAGATTATCCAGGAAAGTCTACATAATTAACTGTTGAAAAAGATTTCTTCTTCTTAAATGAAAAACCACCTAGACAAAACAATGAAGTTCATGTTGCTGTGTGTTATTTTAAAAACATGTAATTCCAGAAGCAGTTCTACATTATCAGTTACTTCTAATTGCTGGTTTTGATTTCTGGAGCAAAGCAGTAGATAGCTCTGGGACTAGGTTTTCAAACTGTGTAGGGGAAAACAAAGGGTTTTATCTCTATGTGAAAGTGTACAAATCAAGACTCTCTGAGTACATTCTGTTCCATTTAATGATGACTTTTAAAATCAGATTTCTTTTAAGGAAAAGTATAATTGAAAAACCCTGAAATGCTGCTGTTGGACTGAGAATCAATTATGTGACCAGCATGGTGCATACCTGGCTATAACCGTGACTGTTAAATGACTTAAACAAGTTGTTCTGAATATTCGCATCATGCTGAAAGTTGATTATTCTAAATAGTAGAACTTTTTGCAGCCTGGACAGATTTTCTGCTTTGAATCCTTTCAGTTGTTGGATCATAGCTGAAGTTATAGCTGATCACAGGTACAGGGCTTTTCTTTTTCCTTTTCCACCACAGGAAGCAAATTAAGACTCCAGGACTCAGATGATTTGTTAGGTTGTGGGGGTTTTGTTACATGGTTCATTTTTGTTGTAGAAAAACTGTGTTTACATCTGTTATGTAACTGTTGTAATTCCAATCCAGTCATTTTGAAATTGTGGAATCTGAACAAGAAGCAAACACAGAAACTGAGTAACAGATAATATCCACAGCAAATCCACAGGTCTGCCTCAGTGCAGCCACATCACTAAAATAGTTATTGATACACAGGTAAAAAAAATACTTTGTGGAAAGGAAGTAGGAATGACACTTTTCTTCTGCACTGAGATAGTACTGAAACACTGAAAAAGCTGGCCTAAAGCATGCAAGGAGTGATTTCAGAAAGCACTTGGAAGAGAGCTGGGGAGTACTCATTCTCTCTGTACTAATTTCTGTTTTCTCACTGATCCCTAGCAGGGGTTCTGATGGAAGATATCTCAGGTGACTGTGTTTGGAAAGAATGGTAGAATAGCTCACCACAGAGTAGTGTAATGATGTTTTCACATTTCTATCCTTTATTCAGACAGAAGTGAACATTTGTGTGCAAGCTATATTTTGGGGGGGGTTGAGGGACTTAATTCCTGTGCATCTTTCTATGCTTGGGAACGATACAAGTGCTTGCATGCACAGATGTTTGTGAACAGAAGTGCAGAGAAACAAATTACAGCCAACTGTCAGCTTTTCCATTCTTATTTCTAGAGTGGTGTAATTTTTTTTCTTGATAGTTCATTTAACATATTTCAGATTAGATAAAAAGGACTGTAATAATAATAAGAATATATTTGTAGCTTTACTTAATTGTAAGTATATGCACAGGTGTTTCATGAAAAAGAATTCTGTACTAAATCCATACTGTAATGAACAAAAAGGACTTAATTATGAATTTCTATTTTATGCTCTTTCTTTCCCAGGAGTCATTCGGCATGTTGGAGATGCACTGAAAGATCATGCCTCAAAATCTCGAGGGAAGATCTGCACTATCGGTATAGCTCCATGGGGGATTGTGGAAAATCAAGAGGATCTGATTGGCAAAGATGTAAGCCCTATATGGACATAGTTCACCTCCAGTATATATAAATATTCTGGTTATTTTTCCTTTCCTCTCCATCCCTCATTTAGCAATTCCTCATAGAATTCATGTTTGCAGGAAAAGATCAATACAAACACAGGTTTACCATTGTGATTGATAATGGCTTTGACATGGCAACAATAGAAATTCCTGCACTTTTCTTTAAAAATAAATTATAAAGAAATTTCATTGAAAGCTATTCCTGAAAATAAGTTTTATCCTTAGAACACTATGAACCCTAAAAAGTGCCTAAGAAACACTGATTGCAAAGCTTGAAGTCTGATTTGTTTTGAAACAATATTACGATGCAGACTATCCCCCTTACAATATATGTCCAATGCATTTTTATTACTGCAACTGTGAAGAATTATAAAATGTATTGGACATGAGATCAGACCTCTAAGAATCATTACTTCAGTCACCTCCTGAAGGGCAGAGCTGGTGTTTCTTGTACTCTTTCACATCATTCTTCTATTTTAAACATATACTGTCACTCACAAAGATAAGCCCTCTTGATTTTAAATACATGAATAGTTTACTTACACTGGTTATATGTTGTCTGAAGCTCTTCTGAGCCCTTTTCTTTCTTTTTTTCTCATCTCCTGTTCATTCCCAAGCAATCTGCCTGAGAATCAGTGGCTAATTGAGAGCAGAGAAGAGACATAGTCTTCATTCTGCATAATGAATATTTTTCTTGTCTACATTACTCTAAACCATTCTTCTCTGTATGTTTGTCTATTAGCAAGTTTGGGATGGGAAGAAGATTCAATTATCAGCTAGGTCAGAAGGAATTACAAGGAGTATGAAGAAATTAATCAAACTGGAATTCATTGCAATTCACTGTTAAAGTATAGTCCTTAGGGGGAATTGTATTAGCATGGGTTTTTGTACTCTAATGCCACCAGTACTTGTACCATAGAGTTGCCAGTATATACAAAGAAGCAGGATAGGACTCCACAACAGTAATTCTGAGTCACTAATGAACTCTTCTGAGTTGCAGCATGAAAGGTAACTAGCAGAAATAGCTAATCACAAAGATGGGGTGCGTCTTGTTAAAGTGTAATGTACACATCAATTTCAAATAAGCAGTCTTTACTGACTAGGCGTGGAGTTCTGGAAGCATTGCAGGAAGAAAGAAGGCAAGAAAGGACACCAAATTAGTTGTGAATTCTGGGACACTGTTAATCTTCCATTAGTTACATCTACCTGTTGGAAAGCTACCTACCTCAGCTAGGTGTTCCCAGCTAGTGTTCCCAGCTAGTCACTATCTGTTAAAGGGGCTCTGGAGCCTTCTTTCACAGAAAGAGCTGAAGAAAGAAGTTGGTTTTGACTTCTGCTTCCTTTAAGAGGCTTTTTCCTCTGAATATCCTACCAATTTAACAGAAAACCAATGAGTTATATACTATTTTTTTAAAGCTTTCTGGTAAACCAAAAAAGGTTAATACTTAGTTTGATGATCAGACAGAAAGTGATATAATTTTAAAAAACAGTATAGAAACAAAATGGTAAAGTCTTATGTTAATGCAGCCACAATTTTATCAGTAGGATTACCATTACAGTGTCATCACAAAAATAGTTCCAAAATGTATTTGTGATAGAAAAAAATGAAACTTTTGCTCCAAACCTCCTGGCCCCTAATATTATCATATAATGACTGATCAATGGCATGATGAAACACTGAAGCATTTCTGGTTTTATCCATCTCTAAACCACATGTAATGTGATATTGCTTTAAGCTTACTGATATTGAATTTCATCTTCCATTTTATTGCTTAGTCAGGCTGCTTTATGAAGACTTTCTTTAGCTCTTGATCATCCACTGAAATATCTGTTAGCTTTTCACACTCTTATTAACCTCAAATCCCTTACAACTGTGTTGATCAGAACATGACCCAGCTTGAGGTAGGCCACTTATGTCACTAAATCTTCTTAGTAACACTTAGTTTTTGCAAAAATTAACTTTTCCTTCTTATTGTTTTCTCTCCCTTCCCCCCAGTTAACCCCAATTACTAATCCCTCAAAGGACTTTCCTCCTTATCCAATGTGTGCAGTTTCTTTAGAAGCATTTGTTGAGGAATCTTTTTGAAAGCTCTTTGAAAATCAAAGTGTACTATATTGACTGGCTCATTAGAGGTGAATGCTGTGAAATGAACCAAAAAGGAGGAATATAAATAGCACTGTAAGCATGTAAAATGAATCCTCATTAAGCAAGAAACAAAGGCCATAAAGGATTATGCAGGTGGAGAGGGAAAGTCAACCAATAATAAAAGATCTGTAGAACTTTGGCATCAATGTGGCTTTATGCTTGTATGCAGTTAAATTATGATCAGAACTGAAGAGGTGTCAAGACATACCCTTCCAGTGTCAGCTCCAGTGCTTGTTTCCTCCCTGTGCCTTGTGGCAAGTCAGGTGTGCTCAGCAGAGCTGCGTCTCTACTAATGCTCCACCTCTTGCCTGACCTGTATTGATCTTGAAGTCATAGCTGAGGGGCTTTATTACACTTACCAGTCCATCTAAATCAGTGAGTTCTTGGGAATCCCAAGGGCTTTCCTCAGATCCATAAAAAGCACGGTCCAAGTTAAGCAAAATATTACTGTTGTTTGCTATTTGTTATATTGTGATGGTGGAGGATCCCTAAAGATATTTCTCTTACTCGAGTACTGTAAAAGCAATATAGCAGAAAATGACATCCCTCTTAAAACACTTAGATGCTAATTTAAAATCAAAGCACACAAGGAAAAGGTAGTCAGTTGCCTTATTTCCAATTTTCTGATAGAAGAACTGAGAAAGTAAAGTGGCTTGCTGAGTCTTGTAGAAAACTTAGGTTACAAGCAGATTTCTTCCTACATACAGAGCCAATCTTCCTTTTAAAAGTGTGTACTTTATGAGTCTTCGTAGCATGCACATCTTTCCTTTCAGTCTGTTCAGTCTTTGTTTTAGTTTAATTCCTAGTCACCTCAGTAGGAACAGTACCTGGCTTACAAAGAGATTATTGATTTTAGTACTTTCCTTTTGCTGAATGAAATAATTCTAAGAAGTCTCATTTTTACTCCAGAGAAGCTCATATTTGAGACTTAAATAAAAATATGCTTTCATTGTGTGACTCAGCAAAACAGACATTTCCAGCATACTGTGATATGTCATTGATTAGTCAAGATGCTGTATATTAGCTACTAACTTAAATAGAATTCATTTTTTTACTAATTAAAGTTTTAAGGGAAAAAAACACAAAACAAAACAAAAGCAAAAACAACAACAACAACAAACCAAACAAACAAACAGAACACCAAACTTTTCCTTACTGAACTACTTGGAAAAAAAATTGAGCTTCTGTGCTGTTATGCTGAATCACTGCAAAACCCACGACACCCCCACTTCCATGCCTGCTGTAAGAATCCTTCCATACGTGGATCCAGAAGGTTGACATAAGGAGAAATTTATAAATTCTCTTCAAATTTCTTGGCTTTTATTTGTCTCTCTTAAAGTATGGCCACGGATTATAGAGTGTTTCTTTCCCTGTATTACTTCATTGATCTTTTGTTTACGTTCAACAAATAGAGTGGCAAAACTGAAGCTCAGCATAAACTTCAGAAAAAGTAGAATACTTATTAGTTTTAAGAAAGTCTTTAGCTAGTAAAAAGGGAGCAGTAGTGTTCGGCTTTTATCATTTAGTGCAGCAGAACAGATAACCCAAAATAATTACCTACTCAGCAGACTTGTGCAGTGATATATATGCAAGAAATATATACATATATACATATATATAAAAAAATGCTGGGAGCACAATCATTCCCAATTGTAGATGTTCTTGGTGGACTTTGCTAAAAATGTTCTTTTGTACTGCTCAGGATATTCAGAAAAAAATTAATAAAACTCAAGCAATGTGAAAACTGATACTTAAAACCTACTCTACTATACAGCTGAAATCATAAAAATAAGAAGCAAATATTGTCACTTTTTATATAAAAGCTAAATTTATATTGGACTAAAAATAAGGTGAATCCAAACATCCTTAGATAAAACTTTTGTTTAAAAATGAAACCTGACTTTCTCGATCTGTTTTTAGATAATGCTTCTGATTTACTAAAGACTGCATTTCAGAATAACCAGTTTTATGTTAGTGCAGTTACTGAATTTTATAGCTATAACGGGAGATAAGAACATGTCATCAGCAATGTATTCTCTGGGATGTTCAAATGGTACTCAGAGCAGTACTCTGCAGTCTTGCTCTACTTGCTTAGTTATATCTTCAGCTTTTTCCAGTTTTGATTTGGATGGTGAAGTAGGGAGGAAATTTAAAATTGGAAGATTGTATGAAGAGGGCAGGGTCAAAACAGAGAAGTTAGAAGTCAGCCTGTCTGACTAGCAGGTGCTAGAATGATCTTCTGAAAATCCCTGTATAGTAACAGGCTAGACAACTTCTTCAGGAACAGTGGGGACCTTCCATGTTGTAATGTTTCAGCAGGTAATTATTAATAATTAACAACTCGATTGTATCATAACTCAATGCTGCTTCAGAAAGAATTTAGTAACAGGACAGATATATGACCTTGGGAATCTCACTGGGCACAAGTGAGACCAATGTCTAGTTATAAAACAAGTAAAGGAAGTAAGAGCAAACACAAGGTAAGGAAAACATAACTAATGAGGAAAACTTAAAGCACAAAGAACTTAAATGGTTTGCTGTATGTTACAGCTGAACTAACTGAGAAAGGCTTATTTTCATCAACACACCAAGTCCTGCCTACTCCCTTCTCCCCAGTCCCACCTATAAATGCTTCATTAAAAAGGACTGGACTCTGCCAGTACCAAGTCCCCTTCATTTTTGGAATACCACCTACCACCTTGAGATTACCAAAGGTTATCCTTCGAGAAAGATGTTATTCTTTAAGAATGAATTGAATTGCCTGGGAGGGGGAGGGGAGAGATTACAAATAACCATAAAGAGTTCACAAGTTTGTTTCACTGTAACTTTTATCCAGTGTCAAAGTATCAGAGCCCCGTTGCAGGCCAGTCAGGAGATAATTACTCTAAGGAAAGGTGTAAGGAAAAAAGATTCAGCTCTCTCATTCCAAACTACAAGGTGGGAAGCATGCCTGTGGTGGAGCTGGGGACTGGCATATTTGTAGCATATATGAAGAATTTGGACCATGGTGCTTCCAGGATCATCTGAATTAAACCAGGAACTGTTCTATTCCCTGGTGTACCCCATAAGAGTAAGGCTGCAAAGAAGGCTTAATTTGAACAACAACCACTACTTTCTGAGAAGCAAAGCACACATCTCTTTCCTCTGCTACTCTGAACACACTAAGTTAGTTGTAAATTCTTTGCCTTCCCCTAGGCTGCTTGGATTCATATGCTGGATTGCATGGCACATGCAAACTCATTGTCCCTGCGATTTTTCAAGTGCGATTCCTTTGATGTGTGTCATGTGCCCACGGGGAATGTAAACAATAAAACAGTGTTTTTAATTCAAGCTTACTGCCACCTCAGTGTGAAAAGACAACTGCTGAGGTTAGCCCAGTTCCTCGCCTTTTGACAGAATGCCCTTGGCCCATGCAGTATGAGTACTGCTTCACAGCATGGCTGCTGTCACATTCATTAACCTATATTTAAAGGGGTTGTCTTGAGCATAAATGCTTCCTTTCAACTCTGCAGAGAAATATGCCTGAGGACATTATTCCCCTCTTTTCAATGCAGAAAGAGGATGAGAAGACATTAAAGTCAAAGTTTCCCCAACCTTTTAACTTGCCTGTAAAATGTATGGGATTGAAAACAGCAAAGGAATGGGAACTGCAAGCGTGAGAAATTGAAAATCTGCTGAGTGTTGTGGAAAAGCAATTGACTTCAAGGAAATAGCCTTAAAGCCTAGGATTTTCTTGCCTTCCAGAATATTTTTCTTATCATTTAATCAGGAAAAAGAGTCTGACAGTGTGGTCTGCAACATCTAATATTTTTTTTAAAGTATTCCAGCCATTGAACTATTCACAGCATGAAGAGTTCAATTGAAAAAAATTGTATTCTCATTTTTACATCTACAAAATTTATTCATAATATTATTCACTTGTAGCTAAACAGTAGACAGAACCAAAGCATAGCTTTCTAATCTGCACCACAGAATCATGACTAAGCCAGCGTGTGGAGTCTTTGGTGGTGTACTTCAGTAGAACTGCAGATCAAGCTGCCACCATTGGAAAGTTTTGAGCTGTGACTTGTGGGAACAAACCACAAGTTGTTGGCAGAATTGGATGTACAGCAGCTTGTAGTCACACAATGAACAGGCAACTTAAGTGATTCCTCTTCTATCAGATCTTGCTGGACTGTGCCCTCTATATGTTGAGAGATAGAGCAGGTATCGGTTTAAAATACCTGTAACTATTGTAGTTTGATTTTATATGATTCTTAGGCTTATAAGAAAGAACCTTCTTTTTCTTTCTGTCTGTGGCATTGGACACAGGGTTTCTCTGTCTTTAGAAGCTAGTTAATGAACATGTTCCGTCAGCATATTGATATTTGTTAAGCTACATGTTCCTGTAGAATAAATGGTTTATGAGTGGAGCACCAAAAGAAATAGCATAAAAGAAACTTGAGCCAAAGCTATCACCTGTTCTCACAGTGGAGTGCACTGCCTTGTTGTTGGCCAGCTGCCCTCTTGGTCATCTCAGACCTGTTTCCTCCCTTTTGGAGGATGAACAGCTTAGAGATCTTCCTCTGTGTGGCAGTTTAGAACAGCGAAAGAAGTCAGTGAGTTTTCCCTTGCCATCCAAATGCTGACCAATTTGTTGCAAGCATTCACAAATGAAAATAATAGAGATAGATATATCTGACCAAAGAATTAGAATTAGAAGGACAATGAAGCTGGTGAGGGGTCTGGAGAACAAGCTTTATGAGGAGCAGCTGAGGGAACTGGGGTTGTTTAGTCTGGATTAGAGGAGACTGAAGGGAAGGACACCTTATTGCTCTCTACGACTACCTGAAAGGAGGTATCGATGCGGGGGTTGGTCTCTTTTTGCAATTAACAAATGATAGGATAAGAGGAAACAACCTCAAGTTGTGCCAGGGGGAGGTTAGATTGGATATTAGGAAAAATTTCTTTACTGACAGAGTGGTTGAACACTGGAACAGGCTGGAGGAGTTCAGAAAATGTGTAGATGTAGCACTTCAGGACATGGTTTAGCGGACATGGGCATGCTGGGTTGACAGTTGGACTTGATGATCTTAGAGATCTCTTCCAACTTTAATGATTCTATGATTCTGTGAATTACTAATGCATATTATTTGTAAAGATTTGTGTCTCAATTAGAGAGCTCTTTAGAGTAACAAAAAAGGAGAGCAGCTTAGGAAGAAACCTATGTTAATATATTTCTGTGTGCAAGCATATTTGTCAAAACACGACTGTACATTTTTATGCGTTAATAAGCACAAAATTCTGTTAGATTTGCAAAATGAACAATGCTGGAGCTGTGAAGAAAATTCCTTGCAGATGGAGTATAGCCCATCTGGGTTTTGTAACAAGTCACTGCAGCATTTCTTCAGCTAGAACTTAATGTTACAAATTTTCAGGAGTTTTGTCTTTCCAAAAAGACAAGACATATGTAAACAATGCAGGGAACAATATTTCTAGCACATATCTTTGAAAGATCACCCAGGATCTCTTGACACCACACCTTTTTTTTTGCCACATCAATGCAGTCTTACTTATGTCACTGGAGACCCACCGAAGTAGCTGACAGCCAAATGTGGCCCAATACTATTATCTGGTATGCCTGGCGGCTATGAGTGGGATATCTCTGCAACAATTTACTCTGTCTGCAGAAGAGTTTCTCCAGATGAAGACTGGTAAACTCCTCATTGAAGGAAGTCTTTCTAAAGCTGTTGAGAACACAAGCAACTGCCTTTGTACTATGCTAAGAATGGGCCAATAGTTTTTTCCAAGGAATTGAAAATCTGGTGTAATATCATGTGTACACCTCTCAAAAAGTGGAACTCACCTGTACTGAGGTGACTGGTGGCTGGTGACTGGTCGCTCTGGATGGGTTCTGTGAAAGAAGAATCAAAGATTTTAGTTGGATGAGGTAAGGATTTATGGCAGCACTATTGAAAGACAACAGCAGACAGAGTTTACCGTGTGTGTGTGTGTGTGTGTGTAATGACACAGACCTTTGAAGGACTGATCATTAGCTGGACTTAACACTGAAACAGTGACCCCTGATACTATTGAAACAGATTAGCATGGAAAACCCTTTAAGCAGTGTCTGTGTCTAAAGGGGCAGTGTTAACAAGAGGTGGCCACACTGGTTTGAGTGCTAGGGTTATTTTTTACTTTACAAATAGAAGACAGCAGTGCTTGAGTGCAGTACTTCATACCATTTTGATTTTTTTTTCCTTTTGTGTCATCTTGTCATCTGGTAATTTATAATTTATGTAGTTCAGAGGGTTTAGTACCTTTCTTTTCCTCTGTCTCTAAAATGCAGGTGGTCCGACCATACCAGACGATGTCCAATCCAATGAGTAAATTGACAGTGCTCAACAGTATGCATTCTCATTTTATTCTGGCTGACAATGGCACTACTGGTAAATATGGAGCAGAAGTGAAACTTCGTAGACAGCTGGAAAAGCACATTTCACTTCAGAAGATAAATACAAGTGAGTAACCATTTGTTTGTTTGTTTTATAATTGCAATTATATCGAAGACACTAGGAGTTTACATAGGCAATAAGGTCTGTGTATTTTGGGGAGTATTTCTACTGTCTAAAATTAGGAGTATGAGCTAATAAAAGCAAATAATGGTCAACAAAGATAATAAAATTTTATTTTAGAGTGTTGTGGGTAAGGGTACAGCACGAATAGCTGAATTTGTTTCTGATAAGTTTCAAACAATATTTGTCAAGGTTCTTCAGGTTCAACTTAGGTTTTTGGTGCCCTCACCTTAAAATGGTGTACAGTTCCAGTCCCCTTCATTTTGTAAAGAATACAGTGGTATTAGTAAAGACAGTGCAAAGGGTGACAGAAAGTAAGAGAGAGCTTTTTATGATAAAGACTTCGCAGTTCGGAAGAGAGATACCTGAGGTATGTAGAAGTACATAAAATTCTGCATGGTTGGAGGGGAAATGACTGGACAACTCAAGCAGTCCCAGAGCCATTGATATTTGGAAGCAGAGAGTATTCCACAGAAGTGTTACTATGTGATTGGACTATGTTTATTAGTTTTTCCTAGACAGCTGCCATTACCCACAGCCAGAGGCAGAATATGAGGTTTTATGGTCCTTTCACCTCATCTTTTACAATTGTGATGATACATTACACATCATGATCAGACTGAAGCCCCAGGTTTTCTCTCATATAGTTCTTTTTTCTTTTATAATCATGTATCACTTTTTACTACATAAAACAAAAAGTTAATATTCACCTGAGTAAGCACTTCTGCTTGGATAAAAGATGATGCCTCAGTATTAGTAGTATTATTTCTGTAGTGTACAGATGCTTAATTTAGATCGGAAGTTAATTTCTTTCTATATATTTTGGATTTTTTATTTTTGCTTCTGTTTACAATCATTTAGTTTGTAGAAACATATTGCTATCAAAAGGAAAAAGGATCAGCTCTAGGAATTGAACCATAGGCCTTTGGATGTTAGTCAGGCAGGATTTTTTTTGTAGTCACAGAAGCAAACCTCAATGTTGTACCTGCATAAGCTACCTTTAGGAATAAAAATAGAGTTCATTTTGTCAAAAATTATTGTATGCACAGCCTTTCTGCTGATAACTCTCTGTAAACATGCAATATTAAGACCAGCAACAGTGAAAGGTTTTGTGATACAGGCACTTGAAACTGGAATGAGACTAGGAAACACATTCAGACTCTCAGGCATCAGACGATAGTGAATTACAGGAAGGCCCAATGGGGGTAACATAAACTAGCATGTTGGTCATGCTTGATAAAGCTTTCTGTATGATGAGTATAGTCTGTGCTTAAATTAAAATGGCCTGCTGGTTATAATCATCATTAAGGTTGAAAGAGACCTCGGATCATCAAGACAAACCATCCACCCAACACCACCATGCCCACTAAGCTGTGTCCTGAGTTTATACCTTTCAACACCACTGCATGAACTACACACGCTACAGGGTTATTCTTTTTATGATGTCAGAATATATATTGCTTTTTCTCAGATGGCAATGTGTAAGTATGCACAAATGTGTGTGCATCCTAAGAGGTGAATGTCTATGCATTTCCTTAGCAGATGGAGGTAGTATGATCTAATTCTAGGTTGACCAGCAACAAAAATTCACAGTTGAAAATGGCATATATGATGTAGCCAAATTGTAGAAAACTGTGCCATAAATAATAATTATTTTGGGGATGGTTATAAGAACAATGTGAACTTTTGCAGTTTACAGCACAATATTGAGTTGGGGAAAATTTTTTGCTAAAAGATAGATCTCTTTAGGGAGTTTTAACTTAGTTCAGCTTTGGACAAGAGGTTTTCTGTTGAAAAGGGATTGATGGATGAACTTCCAAACTGTTGTGTTTCAAGACAAATGCTTGCCTGAACTTCTTAAACATACAAAAAATGAAGGATTTCTTATCTCTGGTTTGTCTTTGCAGTCTAGCCCCCACCACTGCCCCCTCAGGAAGATGTATCTTCCTTTTTTTTCCCCTTTTCTCTGAGACAGACTCTCTATCATTTAACGTCTCTCTCTTAAATCTCTCTCTTTTATAAATATAAAAACACTTGGGTCTCACAACACTTTTTCAAAATAGAAATGTCAGAATACTATCAAAAAGGAAGGTTGCTGGTAAGATTTGTATATCTTGGTCCAGTGACATCCAGAATGTTTCTGCCATGTTTTGTTTTCCTCTTTTTTAAAAGGTGACTGAGTCCTGCCCAGCCTTTAGTTAACAGAGAGATGACCATATGGATGAGAGAAGGACCACCTGCCCTGTTGGGTCAGCCAAACAGATGGCCACTTTCTGATGCCTTTCCTTAGTCTCATTCATAGCAGAACAATGGAGACCCTCCTGTGCTTGCAGGGGCACTGCTGCAAAGGGATCTTCATCCAAACGGCAGTGTGTTCAGCCATGCATGTGCTTACTTGCCATTTTGCAGTAGTAAGCATGTGGAGTGGTGGAAAGCACTGACAGCATCAGACTTTTTTTTGCTGGAGGGTCAGGAAAAGGTACAATTTTTAGTTAATCACCAAACAAAAGAACAGAGTGCTAGAAAACAGAGCAGATTTAGGAACTAATAAGCAGTTAGTAATCCTTTTATTTCTCAGCCTGTGCCTGGACAATAGTGCTGAAAGTAGATTTTATTCTTATTTTTAAGCCTGCCTGACTTTTATATTCTAGTCTTGTCATTTCTTCTTATTTACTTTATTTTGCTTCAACTGTATCTTTCTCTAGTGAAGTGATAGCTCTCCTGAATGTTTGGGATCATACACTATTCACAAAGGGAAACTTCAAGCTTGTGCTCACCTATTACAGACACATAAAATGATATTCCCTTCAAATAGATTATTACAGTGGCAGTCTCTTTTACAAAACTGAAGATTAAATCTGAATTTTAAGTATGCCAGATAACTCTGAAAGACTCAGCTGTTTTTCTTGCTAATACAGCATCACTCTGAGTCATTCAGCAGTATCTGATTTCCTGAATGAAATAATAAAAAGCTTGCCTTATGCCCTCTATGAACAGTAGAGAAAAGATTTCATTGAATGATGTTTCCAGTCTACCTTTTTAGCTTTTACCACTTCCATAGTTCTTATTTTGTCAACAGCAAATATACTGGAATTAAAAAATGCTTTCCCAGAAAGCGGAGGCATTTGTCGGTCAGTCTTTAGGTTCAGGTCAGAGTAACTCAGTTGTGCTTTTAGCTAGAGGTCAATTTGATGCTTCAGTGCTCAGAGCAGGTCTTTCTTATTTTCACAAGTGAAGACTATTTTAACACAGCCCAGCAACTATCTCTTGTGGTGAGCAACAAGTTGTCTCAAACTCATGAAGTTTCAAAATGCATCATTTTGTAGTGACAAATGTTGAAAGTAAAATGAACTTTTCTAAAACTGTTTCAAGAACAAAAGGAAATATTGAAGGCAATCTGATAAAAAATGTTTCTGGTTTCCAATACATAAAAACATTGGAGTCCTGGACTTTTTGCAGGAATCTAATGGCACATTTAGGTCTCATTTATCACATTTAGATAAGTTCCGCTCATCTACAGTATTCCTTGGTTAAAGTAATTCTAAAGTCTTACATTTCCACACTCAATTTTATTCAGAAGAAATAGGGATCAGCATATTCTCTAAAATCTTGAGAATTTACTTGCTTTTCTAGAATCCCATACACAATACATTTCTTCCCCCTCCTGATGCCTGGGAAGTCTTCTGCCCATTGTAGTTTTTTCATCCCCTTTGCAGCTGATGTTCCCAAATCTGCATATTTACACCTTCTTTCCAATAAGTCACAATAGTGCAAAGAAATGTTTTGAAAGAAACTTCAAAATAAAAGAGGTAGAACAGTTTTCACCAGAAAACTGGTATTGGCATTGGATTAGAAAGTGATGAATATCTTATGATCCCCCAAGCTATGAAAGTGTAGCTAGTCTTTTTTTTTTTCACATCCTATGAAAATACTAGTGGCCAGTACAGAAGGAGAACCTAATATTATCACCAAACAGAGAAAGGAAAGAAATTAAGCGTCTAATTACTAGAGATGACCTATTGCAAATTATCAAATTATTACATTCCTAGACACTAACAAAGGATTTCTTTGAAGTGTGACAAAATGGCCCAGACATTTGCTAAGATGTACATTAAATGCAGCACATTGCTGAGTAACACAACAGGTACATCAGTTTTCTGCAACCAGAAACACAAAATAAATCTGTCTACAAAATCTGCGTTGGAA